TCGACCTCACCGACCCTTGGCGAGGGCTCGACCTCTCCTGCCCCTGGTGAGGCTCGCCTTGCCATCGCTGGGCGAGGTCGGCCTTGCTGGCCAGAGAAAGAAAGAATTAAAAAAAGAAAAAAGAAAAAATAATTAAAAATTTTGAAAAAAATATTAAAATATTATTAAAAATTTACATTAGCGCCGTTCGTGTCACGTCAGCGTCAATCGTGCCACGTTAGAGTCAATTGGCCAATTTTGGCTAGGTGGACTGAATTTACACAAATGCAAAAGGTTTAGGACTCAATTGGCACAAAAAAAGGTTTAGGACTGAATTGGCATAATTGCAATAGGTTTATGACTTTTTTAGTAATTTTCCCCCCGAAATTTTCGATGCAATTCTCAATCGGAAACCCAAAGTCACTAAAGAGCACTTAAAGGGTACTCACAAACTGCGAAGAAACTATTGAGTATTGAGGTGGATATGTGCATTTTACACTTCACAGCTTTAATTATTTTATATGGATTGCCATCAAGAGGATATTTTCTCGAGAAGGACTTAATTCTCCATTCTTTACTTTTTTTTCCTCCATTCTATAATAATTTTTAGGAATTACTGTCTATTCGAATATTAAATATATAAACTCATAAGCAAACAATAATTATTATTAGTCTTGCTCCGTCTGATAGTCCCCCAGTCCCGTAATTTGTGTAAATCCCTACGAAGCTAAAAGTTGTGGTAGGACAAGAAAATAGGTTATAGATTGTTGACTGACAAAGAGATAATAATACTCGACGACTAATATTAGGAACTTGTTTAGTGGCAGGAATATTTAATTCATGATCCGGTTATAATTCTAGGAAAGATAATATAAGTTTAAGAATTATGAGGAAATAACAACAAAAGATGTCGATTTTGTGGATGTCATAATCCCAAAATCTATTACAAGGTCATGTCAGCAACAATTGATCGAGAACACATAAGTTCAATTCAGGAAAAGAAGAAACCATTTTGCAATGCTATGTGCAAATTCTGGGATTACAAACGTAGTAGTGCCAAAAACAATCTATTGAAAGAACATTCAACTATCAGAAAAAAGGATTTTTCATATTGAAATAGTTTAGCGACCTATAAAAAAATCAAGACGTTTAAAAGATTATTGAATATGAATATGGAGAAATAGAAACTTTCAACGAGAGGAGATCTACGTAATTTTTTTTTGACGAAATTGAACATTCGAGAATTAAATGAACAAAAAGTTCCTACAAGAATTTCATATAAAGTACCTTCTAGTTCATCATGCTCACTTATCCAAAAACAGAGGATGAAAGAACAGTTTGCATTGGAATTTGAGAAATATAAGATCATGTAATGCTTCCCGCATATAGGATTGATCTTATATTGCTAGAAAAAGAGCCTTCGGCAATTCATCCTAGCAATCGTAGGGTACGCCAAAGCCAAGCTCGCTCACGTTTTCGGATTTCCAAACAAGACTCATTAATACTTCCTGTTAAATGGACCACAAAAGCTTAAGAGAAGATTTCCTTTCTGTAAAAAATAAAGGCAAAGGAAAATAGTTTGCAGAAATATACACTCCAAAGAGAAAGAAAGGTTTTTCAAGAACAATGATGTGTAGAAATAAACAAAAAGAAGTAATTCTAAGATTCTTCAATTGGTTTCCGCATAAAGTAAAACAAGGAACTATAAATGACAGAAATTTATTCACAATACTTATATTATGGCATATCGAAAGCCCCAAAGAAATAAAATTAAGAGAGATCACTAAAACATTACCATAAATGGTGAGTGGCAAGAAAGAAGAATGGAGTAGACCTGCTATTTTAGAAGTGTTAAGAGTTTGCGGAAGCGTGTGTGAATTTTGTGTATAAGTATAGAAAGGGTCGGCAAGTATTGGCACAAGGAATAGAAAATTTTATTGAGCAAGAATTCAAAGGAATTCTGCCACGTCTTTCACAAGCTGTTGCTGTCAACTCATTACTTCTACATTAGGTATACTTCTTTCCCAAGCAGGGTGAATTCCAAAAAAAAAACCCCAACAACTTCAGGTCAAGTCTCAAATCTGAACTTTTTTTTGTCTCAGAAAAAATCCAAACTTTAACTTCAGTCCCAAATCTACCCCGAATTTTGTTTTGTGTAAACAAACAGCAAATTTTATTTATTTTCAAAAATATACTCCCGTGATCCAGTCCCAACTTGATGTAGCACTTCGACGTCGATAACAAATCCACATCAGCAAAGTAATGGGGCGATAAGTACAGGCCGACGTCGCATTTCCACTTCGATAGCAAATCCAACCCAAGAAAAATTGTTGACCGATCTAGGATATAAAAGTTAGGAACGATAACAAATTCACTCTAAAAAACTTTTTTTAATATAAAAAAACCCAATTTTTAGATTCAATCCCAATTTGCCCCGAACTTTTCTTTGTAAAAAAAAAGCCCCATTACTTTGTTAATGTGGATTTGTTATCGATGTGGAAGTGCCACGTCAAGTTAAGACTGAATCATGGGGGTATATTTTTGAAAATAAATTGAATTTTGGTGATTTTTTTTACACAAAACAAAATTTGGGGCATATTTGAGATTTGATCTAAAGTTTGAGGTTTTTTTTAGACAAAAAAAAAAGTTCAGGGCAGATTTGGGATTTGACCTAAAGTTGGGGGTTTCTTAAGGAATCAGGCCTTCCCAAGCATGTGTAGACTAGTTTGTTCTGGGATTTTCCAAGAATGGATCGCCTTTTAACAAGAAGAAGCAATGCAGTAATAGAACGAGATAATTATAGTAATTTATTCTTGCAGTCATTAGGTAAACAACTTGGCAAAATGGTAATAAAACTGAGGAAGAGGCCAGTAAAGAAGAACTGGAAACACATATTACAGAATTGACAACAGATTGGCTCAAAGAAGGAGAAGGATGATCCACGTCCCATAGCCACTTGTTGGCTTCAAGCCTCCTTAATAAAAAAGAAGGAAAATTCAAGGAAAATGGCATTAATCATTACCTGTGACGTGGGCACACACAAAAAATAAAGAACCAGCACACCTAGTAAATATGTCATATTAGCTTAGATCTCCCACTTGCTTCAATTGCTCGTTCGTGTTTGCCTTGCTGCTCTCGTCATCACCTTTGATGTTTGAGGCTCCGCCTTGGCCGAGCTTGAACCTTGTCCCTCCCAGAGCTTAAACTTGCGCCATTTTAGTTGCGTCCCTTTCTCTGCCCCCTTCCTGAACTCAAAGTCGTGCTACTTTGTGAACTTGAAGCGATTCCCCTCCCTGAATTTGATGACATGCCCTTTCCTCGAGTAGGAGCTGCGTCCCTATCTGACCTCGAACATTTGCTATTTCTTGAATTTGAAGCTATCCCCCTTCGCGACTTCTAGACTCCTTTTCTGTGCTTTTTGTGCGGGAAACTTCTCTTGAGGATGAATCATCTGTCCGCCATCTTCCGTCGCTATGACTCTACACCAGGACCACGTTGAAATCCGACATTAAGTATCCAGGAATTCTTGATTTCCCAAGGCGTTGCCCGATTTTCTTAGGAATATGACGTGCAGACTGCACCGTCACTCTTAGGTGCAATCAGCTTCTCATTTTCCTTTTATATATACCACGAATTAATTGCCCTTAGTTCATTATTCGTCTTTCCATGTGGCCACACGTGACAGAATTTAAGGAGTTCTTTTTTTTTATTTCGTACATACATGATCAAAATCATTTGCCTTTAATTTCTCCACGGCTCATTAATGACATAATCGAATAAAATAATCCACAGTTACTATCATTATGTGTATAGTATTAAATATATGCGTTAATTATGCTTATTGCAAAATAAAAAAAATTAGTAGACAAAGACATCATATGATGTTTCTGATATCTATAATTTGTAATTTATTTATCCAATATCTTATCTATGATAGCATTGACATTTAAAGAATGATTAAATGAGTTTTCTGTTTCAAAATTAAATGACCAAAACTATCCAACACCAAAAAGGCATGTTGAGATAAGTGACTAAAGAAAGGAGGATATTTGGCCACAAAAGTAAGCAAAAAGTTTCCTCTAATATTTAAGACTTAGTAATTAAATTTTATTCCTTCCTTCACTAGCACAAGAGTACATATTCATATTCCACTCATGTTTACTTTACGTACTGTTTTGTCGGACCTTCTTCATCTATTTAATATATGAACTATTGACTTCTATGATCAGTCTTATATTAAACACTAGAAGGTTTCGCTCACAAGCGTCTTGAACTTTACCTCCCTTGCACAGTAGCTCCGCACTTTGAAAATGACATAATAGTACCCTAATAAACTTTAGCAGTGCCTAAACTGTTATTTTCATTACAGCGATTACTTTTTCCGTTAAATGGACTAACTCATTTTAAATAGAATAATATCTACTATATGATCTATGAAGTTAAGAAAATAGGGAAAGATGCATGGTAATGGTAAGTAAAATTAGTTAAGAAAAATGAGTCAGTCGACCTTCGATAACACTTGACGGTTATGCACACGTAAAAACTAATGGATGCAGCATAAATCAAAGTTTTTTGGGTGGGGGCGAAGGTGTGATGGTAATCTATAACTTTTCAAAGTTTACGGGTTATTGCTCAACAGTGCCAAAGTTCTGAGGACAATTATTGCCAAACTTTATGACATCAATAAACACACGTACCATATTACCTAAGATCCAAGACTCAATTAAATAGCAAGAAATCAATATAAAATTACAATTTACAACACTTTTATTTGTGTACTTATTCATTTTATACAAAACAACATTTCAACTTAAAAAGATCACGTTGAAGGAACACTAATGTATTCGAACTTACCTAAAAGTAATCTCTGATCATCGTTGGATAAAGAAAATGTAGTTTCGTCCATGTAAATTTTAGAATAACATTTGACTCTTTATAATTTGTGTAGTTTTACCGAATTATAGCATCAAACTCACATTAGAACAAATCGATTTTTAAAATCGTGCATTCACGAACGTCTACTATAATTGATGAAGATGTCGCACCTTTCTTGACTTGGAAGCAGATCGCGTCCTGTTTTTCCTGGTTCTAAGCTTTGATGGAGGTTCATGACTGTCCTTTCTGTAACACTTCAAAGAGATTCCTGATTGGTAGCCGTAGCTCGGTCTAGAATCTTTGATAAAGTCTCCACAACGCTGTATTTGGACAAGGCAATCATCTGGCATATTCATGCCAGATGCATCAATCAATTTTTTCAAAGACGGGCAGTTTATGACCTGCAAGAATTTCAGAGACTCGAGCTTGTCGAGGCCCTCAACATTAGTGAGTGCCCCACACCTTTCGATTTGCAACTTCTCCAGGTTCTTTAAGTTTGATAACCCATCTATTTTTGTCAGAGATTTGCACATAAAAACGGTGAAGGATTCCAATGATTTCGACAGTTCCAAAACTTGTATCTCAACTAGCCCTCGACAATGTGACACGCGCGCTTGCCGGAGCTTATCTAATCCTGAAGGAAAGGACAATCTCTTAAGCAGTTTACAGTGGTTAACAATTAAGTTCTCCAATTGTGGAAGTCCACCGAGTGGGATGTCTTCCACTTCACCATTAGAGAGCTGTAAAGTCGACAAATTTCTCAATCTCAAGTAGGAGGGAAGTTCCTCCGCCCACCTAATCCTAAAGAATAGTAATTTCAATCTCCGCAGAGAGGACGGAAGCTGCAACTTACCTAGGTCTAGGCGAGACAAAATTAGCTCTTCCAGATGAGAAACGTCAGCCAACTCTGGAGGTGCGGGGACGTCAAGCAGATTTAACTCCAACTTTTTCAGTCTAGATAACCTCCCAATCCACCGTAAGTTGCGAGAGCCATCACCCGATCCTTTGCTTAGGTTTGATTTGCTAGTATTACGAGAGCCATCACCTAGTAGCAGTTCAACCAAATTTGTAAGGTTCGACAGATTAGGGACCGAGAGCAATGATTCAGATTGAAAAAGCAGACATGTTAAGCTTGTGGGAAGCTCCGGCAACTCTTGAACCTTATGACAATCTCTTAAGTTGAGTGTTTGAAGGTGTTGAAGCTTGTTGACAGTCCCTGGAATTCCGCAAATAAGGGTGCCCTTCAAATTTAGGGTTCTTAAATATGACAATTCTCCAATTCCAGCAGGAATTTCACCTTTCATTTGATCACGCCCAGAGAGATCCAGCTCTACAAGATTTTTCAACATGCTGATGCTATTAGGTAACTGCCAAACATGATTCTCCGGAGATGATTTTGGTAAACGCAATACGCGTAGTGATTCCAACTTTCCAATGGAGTTGGGAAGTTCCCTTATCCTTGTGTCTGTCAAAAGAAAAGACTCAAGTTTCACTAGTCCTTCGATGGAGTTTGGAAGTTCAACAATGCCTGTACCTGATAAGTCTAACTCTATCAATGAGGTTAAAGACCCAAGTGAGACCGGAAGTTTTTTCAACTCAGAACATCCCAACAATGAGAAGCGCTCAAGCTTCACTAGTGCCTCCACTTCTTTAGGCAAATCTATAAGATGGATGCAGCTTTTAATCTCTAACTCAATCAACAAATTTAGTTCTCCTATGAAGTTTTCAATTCTCCGTAGCTTTTTGCAGAATGCAAGAGTCAACCTCTCTAAACCCAAGCATTTAGATATGTCCGGGATTGTCGTAATGCCATTACATCGAGTAAGAGATAGAACTTTCAAATTCCGTGCACTCTGCAAAAATTGATGGCATTTCAAGTATAAGGACCATTGCATAATACACACTGGGACTATTAGACTTGAATTAAAACATGTAATTTACCTTGATCAACTCCCATGCCTTTGCATCATCCGTGAAGCCATTGCTTTCAAGTTTGAAAACAAGAAGATGATCCAATGACATATTGTCCGCCCTAAAATTCTTATGAGGAGAATGCAAAGAAATCCATCTCAACTTTGAACGACACTTTGCAAGGTCCCCAGCAAACGTCCCATTACCTAACTTTAGGAATCTTAGGTTATGTAACCTTTCAAACTCTTTCTTTGTGATCGTTATGGAGTCACCCAATCCATCTATCTCAAGCGCTCGAACCTTGTCCTTCCTCTGCACATGAAATTTTGCAATGATGTGAATAAGTTTGTCAACTTCCAACCATTATAATTTACACTCATTGGGCAGGACAAATGTTAAAGACCCCAAACAAAAAGGGAAAATAATCCTAGGATATACAACTTCTATTTGAAAATGGAATGTCTCTTACTTACCTCCTTGGTTCTTATGATTTCAAGAGCCTCTTTTGCAATCCACAACCTACTTTGCTTTCCAAGGTCATTTGGACTTTCTTCACAGACAATTTGCCTTCCCAGCTTTATGAGTTGATCATGCATCCAGAACTTACCATTGTCTAATATCTTTATCAAGCACCTATTGGTAAGCATATCAATTCCTGTGACAGGATAACTTTCAGGATGGGTCCACACGTAAATTGCATCAGTCTTCTTCTCATTGACAAAGAAGCATGCTATATCGAGAAAAATCTCCTGTTGATCTTTGCTTAGGTCATCATAGCTAATCCTCAACTTCTTTAAAATCTCTTTCTCATGTACTCTCCTTAACTTGAGCAATGTCTCTTCCCAAAATGCTTTTTCTTTGTGATAAAGTAACGAACCTACTACTTCAATAGCCAAAGGAAGCCCTCCCATACTTGAGACAATTTCCTTTGAAAGCCCATGATAATTATTCGAAGGAGAGTCTCTACCAAAGGAGTGCCGACAAAAAAGCTGATGTGCAGAATCATCATCCATCTTTTGCATCTCGTACCGTTTTACTTCAAATCCCTTAACTTCCAGAACAGTTGTAATTCTCGTTGTAATGATTATCCTAGATCCTGAATGTAATATATCATTGCCTAATAGTTTCCTAATGAGCTCTTTATTATCAACATCATCCAGAACCACAAGGACCTTCTTAGTGCGGAGTATTTTTCCAATCATCCTCATTCCGTGATCACTATTAATGACTTTTTCTGCAGATCCAGAACCAACAATATCACATAGTAACTTTTTTTGCAGCTGGACTATGCCCTCCTTGGTCGACGAACTTTCTCGAACATCCTCAAGGAAGCTGCAACACTTTCCAAAGTGGGAAGATAGTTGATTGAAGATGACCTTGGCAACTGTTGTTTTACCGATGCCACCCATTCCGTAAATTCCAATGAACTGCACATCAGGATGGTTGACATTTAATGACTCTATCAAGTTATTAATCCTGTCATCAACTCCAACTAAATGTTCAGTCACTGATTTTTGTTTTATCTCCTGCTTCTGCAAAACCTCTTTAACAACCGTTTTGACAGTCATTGCTTGGCTGCCATGTACAAAAGTTCTTTCATTAGTTGACTAAATTAATTTCATACCCCGCATCATAGGCGGGATAGTCAAAATTTTAACATGAAAAGATTGAAGTACATCAAACAATATCTAAATACACCGACAAATCAGCATAGGCTAACTTAGTAGAATATACTAGATATGTTTTCACATTCGATTATAGCAATTTCTGAAGACTATGTGCATAAGCAAAATTCAGCATTTATAGCGAAGCCCAGAAAATATTTCAGCACATGTAATAGGAGAATCATGAACTAAGATAATGTAGACGAATGCAACGTCATCCATTGAAAAACTGCAGTTTGGTGAAGAAAAATATAATGCCCAAACCTATAGCTATTTCCCAGCGCCAACGTTTAGCTGTTGTAAAATTTTGTATTGCCTAACTACTTCTATGGATCTGATTATGTCAAATATAATGGCATTTAAAGAGCCATGTCACATTAAGATTTTGTTCAAAATTGAAAATCAAGAGACCTGAGACTCCCATGGGATTAACTTGGTGGTTAAGGAATGAAGATGTGTGAGTGCATTAGGCGTACTATACAGGTTTGATCCTCTACACCATCAAGTGAAAACATTCTTATGTTTGAGTCACCAACCTGGGTTTTGGCTTGCATCTTATTTGATCCATGGAATTAGTAAGGCAAGTAAAGTTTTGGAACTTACCCATGGCAGGTGGACTTCCTTATCAACATAAAAGCAAAATGCAGAGGCCCTATCAGTTTGCTTTCCTATAACTCCATCTTTTAGTTAGAAATCCAATATTCTCAATCGACACGTTGGTCGCATTAACTACATAACCCGAAAGCATGACGGATTGCCAATTCTGAAAAGCCGTCCAAAAACAGCTCATTTACATTGGAGAAGCTAATGGGCGCCCACGTGCTATAATATTGCATAGTTGGTGTTAACTTAACATATGTCAGATTTAAATTTATCAATTGACAGCCAAATTTGTGTTGTTATTGATGAATGATGATAAGCATATTAAGTTTGAAATATAAATGCCATGCGATGTCCCCCAAAACAAGATACAAATGCCATAAGGGGCTATGTCACTGCCAAGGCAACGTTGTATCCCCATAAAAAGGTAAAAGAAGAAATAGGTAAGGATCTTAAAAGAGTCTTACCCTTGGTCCTTTTTCACGTTCCATCCCTTAATTTTGCCTACCTCTACAAGAGCTGCTCTCCACGCCTCGACTTCGTCGGGAAACTCCTCCTTATGTTTCTCTAAAGCATGGCTATATAGTGGAGTTTTAAGTTTAACATCCTCAGCTTTCACATGAAAAAAAATGGGAAGGATACTTTTATGAACCTCTGACTTGGACACAGTGAATATTATGTGAGCAAGCTCACGAAGGCACCATTTACTGGAAGCATAAGTTGGAGAGAAGATGGGTATGAAGAGTGTGGAGTTGTCGATAGCACTTAGAAGGTTCTTACCAATCACTTCACCAACGCGGAGTTCCTCATCATCCCTGAATACGCGGACTCCCGCATCATGCAAACCATGATAGAGAAAGTCTGTGAATCCATGACGAGTGTCTGGTCCTCGAAAACTCAAGAACACTTGGTACTCACCTCCTAATTCTGGGGGAGCATCACTAATAGTTCCTGGCTCTAAGTTTGCCATAACTAGGAAGCCCATTACTTCTAGATCTCTCTCCCTTAAAAAGAAAAAAGGTTGGTAGGGAGTGGCCGAGCTAAGAAATGAGCTGAGGTTTTGGATATGAACGAGGCAAGTGAGTACCAATACCTAAAAAACATGGCCAGCTCACTTCAAAATCAAATTTAATTGTATATTTTTCACCTAACGTTCTGCATTAGCAAGTAGACACCGGTGAAGGAGAGGGAGAGAAAGAAGAGAGAGAGAGAGAGAGAGAGAGAGAGAGAGAGAGAGAGAGAGAGAGAGAGAGAGAGAGAGAGAGAGAGAGATTTTGGAGGACAGCAAAGGGAGAGAGGGATGAGGCATGTGAGCATGGGGAGTCGGCAAAAATAAAGGGTCATGCGTTCTTTATTTAATTTTTTATGGATATAAAAGGTCATGCCTTTTAATGGCAAATAATAAAAGACGGTGGTGTGCTACTGTAGTCCTTAATTTTGGGATGGTTCTTAATTTGGCCATTGTCATTGCGAGACACATAATAAGAAGTTGCTAAACATAAAGGAATTGGTTCGATTGGGTGATGATTTTACCAATAATTAAGGAATCAACACTTCTTTTATTTTTCTAGTAGATGCTATCCTTAGTGTTTTCCTTTTTGTAATGCATTAATTGTTAGAGTTTTTCTGATGTGAGCTATATTAATTGATATTGCAATTTACCGTTTTACATTATTGGTCTAATAAGGTAAGAAATAAATATTCTTAATTAGTTTAATATGGGTCTGGCTAGTGTGGGTCGAGTAAAGCTCGGCCCGTGATGAAAGGGTCTATGGCTGAAAACTTTATAAATAGTTCTCAAGTCTCTCCTCTAACCTTAATTCACAAATAACCTCACCTAAAGAGTTGTAACAAAACGTTATTCGTGGAGGGCAGTCTTATTGAATCAGTGAAACAAAGTGCAATATAGAGAAGCACTTGTGCACGCATCAAGAATTATGGATCCTAAATCAACTGAATAAATCTCTTTTATTCATTATTATGTTCTTAAATTTAGTTATGGTGGTCTTGGGCTGCTGTTTATCGCGGCTTATAATAACATTAGACTTGGCATTTCAAATAAAAAAAATTGGAACGTGAATGATTTTATCAGTTTTCACCAATCAGAAAAAAAGTAATCCGACATTCTTCAAACCCAAACAAAAGAACTAATTGAAAAAAGAAAATCATCACACTGTCCACACAAATAATACAGCGTCCTCGGGTGGAGAACAAACACTGAACTAACGCCCCCTAAAAATCCAAACAATCTCCTCCTCCTCCTCCTCCTCCTCCTCCTCCATGCCTTACTTGCCCGGTCAAGTTCATCCTCCCGCATTAGGGGTGTACAAAACGGACTGTCCAAATCGGGAACCACTTGAACCGGACCGGACTGGCCGGTTTGGTCTAGTTCCCGGGAGTGTCAGTCCGGTTTCCAGTTCCTAAAAGTGAAACCGGTGTCCGGACGGTTCGGTTCCCTATTCCAAACGGAATCAGACCGACTATATATATCCTTTTTTTTATTTCTTCAAAAAAATTAGTAAAATATGAACTAAGCCCTAAGTGAAGCACATTTTTTGTTCATCTCAATTTGAGGCTCATTACTTATGTTTGATCATTCATGGTTGCAAAATAATCCTTATCTTTCGATGATTGGAGGGTTTAGTTTATTGCTTTCAAGCAACAATTTATAAATCTGCTTTTTAATTTTTATTTATCATAGAAGATATATGAGCACATAGTTAAGGTCCTTATATTCATATCTTTTTTCTAAAAAAGTGGTAGGGAACACGAAGAGATGGCATCCAGTAGTGGGAAAAAAGTGACTGGTTCCATTGGACTGGAACTAGAACCGGACCGGACCAGTGATCTGATCGGGTCCTCGGTTCTATGACCAACCGAGAACCGATCACCCATACCTCGCATCACCAGTCTACGTTGCCATCTTAATCATCGTGACTCCTAGTTTGTTTGATCGATGATTGTTATACCGACAATAGTTGATGAGCCTAATTAAACATTGTGCAATCGAGATAACTGCTACATTTATGTTTTTTTTTTTGTGGGGTGTGCATATGATGAAACTCATCGATCAACTTCCACAAGGCCAATCGCATGGTACTATCTAGAACTATTTTAAGGACGATATTTTCTAAAACTTTTGAAGCTTTAATGACTACTTGTAAATACCGTTGATTGTTGTTGGTAAGACATATTACATTAAAATATATTGCACACACTGTATACTTTATCAAGAATTGTACATATGCAAAGAACCAAACAGGACAAGCCCACCTCATTATAACTTTTTGCAATTATTTAGGGTCAGTTCATCTCTCTCTTCTTCCTCCACGTATCTATGTAATGTAGAAGGAAAAAGAAAGTATGTGCCACAAATAAAGATTAACGACTAGTCTTCAATTCTCCCAGAACGGAGGAAAGGGACACAAGGAAAACAAAAAAAATGAAAAAGGCCAACATGCATGTCCACGGTCCTAATACTCATAGTTATTTTGCAACTGCAACCCTAATCGGATCGTGCCCTCACATGTCCAAATTTAAGCTCCCCAAAAAGAACTCATCTTTGCATTATTAATTCTTAGCTCTTCAACTTGCTCCTAAAGTTTCTTTTTTAATATTGACACGTAGTTTAGGGCAATGCCCAGCAAGACAGGTTGGTCCAGGTTTATCTCCTCTTAAGAACTGCTAGGAAATGAAAGAATAAAAACATAACCGGTGCAGTAAAATGGATTGGTTTATATGGTTCTTGTAGCTAAGCATGGTGGACAAGAGGACCCACATTATGATAAGATTGGGCTTCGGGTGAAGTGCACCTTGGATGAGGAGAAAACATAGCTGGATTTTACCTGTTAATTTATTGATCTTCCTCCAATAAGACAATATGCCAGCAAGTTTCTAGAGAATTTTTCGTACTATCAAGTGGCTTTATCTGCTTAATTTTTGGGTGCGAACTTTGATTCTCCCTTTGAGAGTCGGTAACCTTCATTGACCTTTTCTGCATCGTTTTGCCGGATGATTCGTCCTTATCATGGGGGGAAGCAAAGGTAAACGTGAGCCATGTGCAGAAGGAAATACAAAAGAATAAAAAGGTTAATGCACGTGCCAAGGAAATATTAGAGAGCAAGAAAATGTCACAAGCCGAGAGAGAAAATAAGAGAACCCTTTATTAAGTGTCAAATAGAATTTTTCTCTTCCATACTTTTTGAAGTCTAGTGACCACATTTCTTTTTTCTTTATTTTTATTCTGTATTAGCCAGTAGCAACAACCGGTGAAGGTGGTTGTCATTCAAAGTTCGAACCATATAGTATAGGTCTATTCAAATAAGATCGGAACCAAAAAAAAAAAAAAACTAAGATCGATGACGACTTTGAATGAAGTGCCCAAGACTTTTCAACAAGTTTAAGTTTGTTAGACTCTTAGGAGACCCTAAAAGCAAATATGCTAATAAATAATTAACCGCCACTTAAGATTTCTCCAAAGATGGTGCGAGCTTCAAGATATAAGAGAAGGGTGTGACATTCCAATGAGATCCAAATCGTATCGCTGTGGACCCCGCCACGCAACTAATACCCCTGTTTCTCGTAAAAACATACCACCAATTACTCAAAATTACATATATCGAGACATCAAAATCCCAAACTTCTTTTTTTGTGTAACAAAAACCTCAAAGTTGAACAAGTGTGACGAATATACCTCTTGCCATAGTTGCATCTAAGACGGAATCTAATATGGCGGCTTATATGGAAAATGGCAAGCGAACGAAGCTGATGTGAATACGACGTGACTTTAGTGCTAAAACACCTCTTTTTACAGGGAAAAATCTAACGCGGTCACCCAAAATGACGACTTTTTGGTTCGCTAAAGCCACATTGGATCCACGTTGGCTCCATTTGCTTGTTGTTGTCTACATATGCTGCCACGTATGATCTTTATCGGCCTTCTCGGACAAAACTGTGCTAGAAAGTATATTTGTCACACTAGTACATAAGTGGGGTTTTTGGTAACAAAAGAATTATATTAAGATGTTAGTAGATATAGCTATGGTTTTTCGTGATATTTTCCCTATTCATAATTTTCAATGTCAATGTAAAGGGTTTTATTTATTCGTCATTTAATGGGTGACATATGTATTTAGTTTAGTTGTCTAATCGAATTTATGCATAGACTACCCATTCAAAGATGGATATGTTAAAAAAAAAATTGACATTGACAATGGACGTGATAATTATCCATTTTAAATTGGTAACCTAACAACTTTTTAGTCAGTCCATATGCGTTCGCGCATATTTTATCCTCAATTAGTCTTCTCTCTCCTCGTGAGCATTGCTGGCCGCGAATCGTAGCACATGCACCGCCACACGCAGTTTATAAGACTTTTCATTTGTTTTCTTTTTTGGCTTGATAAGATATGTGCAACCCCATTGGTCCAGGGTTGCATTTCCTGTAAATTAACCGAGGTCCCATCTTCTTATATGTAGCGCTCAATAGATGAATCTAAAGATGAATAACCTAATAGACAGCAATTGTTGACTCTAGTGTTTGGCATGTTTTCCTAGGGGACAACAAGATGGTAGTTGGAAGGAAATAAGAAATTAGACGTCTATTATAGTGTCTTATCTTAGTTAACTAGAATAAATAAAGTCGCACACACTCAAACTCTTTTTGTGGTGGATTCAATTTTAAGATAGCATTTGAAGGTATTCTTTCATCGAATTAATATAATTGTTGCTGTATAGGATTAGCTGAGCCAGCTAAACTGCGAGCTGCAAGCCAGCTTCATATCAATAACGAGTTTGAAAATCCCCTAGATAGGAATGGGGCACCCAGCGATGATCATGTCAACTCGAGAATATTTATCAAAAGAATATGAGTTTTTTTCTTGGAAAAAATTACAAAAAAAGTCTTAAACCTATTGCATTTGTACCAATTCAGTTATAAATCTTTCAATTGTGCTAATTCAGTCTAATCCTTTGGATGATTTGCCA